TGAATGTGTCATTCCATTCTCTACTGGCTTGAAAAGTTTCTGTTGAGAAATCCATCAATAGTCTTATGGGGGTTCTCTTTTATGTGACTTATCACTATTCAGGTTCAACCTATTTGGGATCCTTTGGGCTTCATGGATCTGGATGTCCATTTCTTCCCCCAGGTTTGGGAAGTTTTCAGACATTATTGCTTTAAATATATTTTCTGTCCCTTTCTCTTCCTCTTTTCCTTCTGGAATTCTCATAATGTGAATATTGTTTCTTTTCATTGTGTCCTGTAAGTCCCTTAGGCTTTCTTCACTCTGGTTTATTCTTTTTTCTTTTTGCTCCTCTGACTGGAAATTTCCAATGTCCTATCCTCCAGGTTGCTGATTCTTTCTTCTGCATTGAGTCTACTTTTGAAACTCTCTATTGAGATCTTCAGTTCAGTTATTGTATTTTTCAACTCTAGGGTTTCTGGGTTTTTTTTTAACGGTTACTATTTCCTTGTTGAATTTCTCATTTGTTCATGCATTGTTTTTCTGATTTCATTCAGTTGTCTGTGTTTTCTTGTAGTTTGTTAAACTTCTTTAAGAGGACTATTCTGAATTCTTTGTGACAATTCATAGATCTCCATTTCTTTGGGGTCAGTTATTGGAGCTTTATTAGTTTCTTTTGGTGGTGTCAAATTTATCTGATTTTTTGTGATCCTTGATTTCTTATGTTGGTATCTGCATGTTGAGTAATCAGGCTCCTCTTCCAGACTTTATAGATTTGCTTTGGCAGAGATAGTTCTTCACCAGTCAGATCAGTTTGTGTTTCTGGATGTCTTCTAGTAATGTCTTTGGGCAAGGAGGGCCTGATATCATGGTGTAGTTTTGGGTGAGACAACTGTTCGAGCTCTTTGGTCAGGGATTGCAGGGTGTGCCACTGGCTGAGAACAACTGGCTAGGACTGCTGGCTTGGTCGCCTACCCTAGTGAAGCTATAGGATGGGCTCTGTGGTTGCCTGGATTTTCTGGTCAGGCTTACTAGATGGTTGGGACTGGGTACTATATTCAGTACTAGATGAACTATTAAATACCTTCTCTGCCCTTGCAGGGCAGGAGGACAGGACCTGGGCCTGTACAGCTCATTTTTGGGGGACCCAAATCAGGGCAGAGTGTGCACTGAATTCCTTGGTCAGGTGAGGCCAACGGTTTTGCTCTGCAGATGGGGGAAGATACAGGCTGTGCTGTCTGGTCAAGTGCCACTGTAAGTAGGGCTGTTGAATGGCCTATGCAGTTTCCTATGAACTCTGGTTAGGTTCTCCAGTGGAACAGTCTGAAGGCTGTATTAAACGATGGGCAGGGCTGTGAATTAGATTCCCTCCCTGGGCACAGCAGGACAAGCAGCTCTAAGGCTAGTAGAGCTCTTTGTTGTCTTAACTCAAGCTGACCCGCACCCCAAGTTCCCTGACCCAACAGGGCCACTGGCTTTGCACTGCCAACTATTAGCTCTGCCCACTCACCTCTCAGCTTGAGTGCCATTGGGCAACATAGCTTCTGGGGGTTGTTGCCAGCCCTTTTGGTCAGATGGGACCAAAAGACACTCTCCACACTGGGTAGGGCTAAGTCACTGCTTCCTATCCTGGGTGGGAGAGGGCAGGGCTGCTCCAGGCTACTCTCAATTTCCCAAACAGGATCTCCAGTTGGGAAGGGCCCAGAGCTACCCTCAGCCTTGGCTATGAATTAATTCCCCTGCCTCTGCTGGCAAGGGAACACTCCATGCCTAGTATTGGCTTTGTTCTGGGGGTGATCAGCTCTGCCCACCTGCCTCCCAGTTTGACCCACACTGGACTGCACTGCTTCCAAGAGTTGTTCCCTGCCTTTCTGGTTAGATAGGTCCATAAGACACTCTCCACAGGGTGTGGGGCTATCACTCAGCTCCTTGCATGGGAGTGGGGAAACCAGGCTCTAGGGCCAGTAAAACTCCTCATTTGAGGATCCAAATCAGGAAGATCTGCACGCTGCCAAGTTTCCTGGTCAGAGTGCTCCCCTAATTTGGTTCTGCAGATGAGCAAAGCCACTGGTTGGGATTACTACCTGGGTGGTGCAGGTACGATTCAGTGGGCCAAAAACCATGTGCTGGTTGTTGCAAGTCCCTTCCCCCTTCTCTGTCACAGATTCCCAGTGGTTGAGCCCCACAGATTCCCCTACAATCCATGTGGTGTGAGATCAAAGTAGGGGCTCCGCTAAAGTGATGCACAATTCTGGGGTGGGGGGGCGGCATTTCCCCCTGGGTTCTCTCTTCCCACTGGAGTAACCAGAGGCTCAGAGGAGACCTCTTCACACAGTGCTGCCCTGGCCTGGGGTAGGAGTAATGCAGTCAGTATGTAGCTGTTTTTCTTACCCTTCTAATGCAGTATCTCGGGCTCTGTGGTGCAGGAGGTGCTTCAGGCTCACTCTTTGTTCTAGGATTCGCTCAGTGGTGTCTTGTTCTTGAATAGTTGTTAGGTTGTTCTGACTTTCCTCCCACTCACGAGAACAATGCTGACATCTTGGTGACATCACTCCTCAGAAATGCTCTCTTACAATCAAACTCATTACATTTGAGTTTTTATTTCATGCCAATACATAATGGAAATTATCACTTGAAAGCCATTTGTTTATAGCTATTAGGCCCGGTAATAGACCTCTTGAAACTCAGAACCCTGAAAGCATTCCATAGTTCTAGGTCGGGAGATTCTGGCCATGAGGGAATGTTCTAGTACCACCCACCCTGGCACAACACTTAAACTTGTATACCCAGCCTGTCCCTTAATAACCTGGTAAGGGAGTTGTTAGGTAAGATTTCCTAACAGATTTGACCATAAATGTGTGCAGCAGGAAAAAAAGGGGTTTTCTGCTTTTGAGTTCCCTTTACACTGAATCATAATTATATAAAGTCACTTTTGGATGACCTAGAAGCATGCTTTCAGCTATAAGGAGTGGATAATCATTTTACTTTAAACTGATCTTATGCTTTTACTATCACAAACTAAATGGGCCTCACTAAGCAACAGCTTTTCTTTTTATATATACTTCCAAGAAAAAAGAAGACCTAAGATCATTTACTATCAAATGCAGATCCTAATTTTTGGCGGTAGTCCTCCAACGTTAACTGGTTCATATTCACCATCTCTGTACTTTAATTACTTAATGGTAGATTCTTCTTACTAATTGAACTTGGAGGGTTCACCAGGAAGGTATATTGCTTAACACTAAACAGACCATAGGCACATTATTGAAATGAGTGACTGAAAATCCTGACATGAAATTTTTCCATGCTAAGATCAATGTATATAGAACTAGATATGCTTTTTGAGGGAATTCTCGGCTCTTTCCCTAAAGACTACTACTTCACCATACTCAGATATGAAGATGAGGTAGCCATCCACCACATTTATCAGCACATAAGGTATATAACGTATAGTGAACTTTATACAATATTACAATGATAATTTTTTTGGAGAAAGAAATTAAGAAATTTTCATCACACATGATTTATAGGTATCTCTAAAAATTGTTTTAAATCCAGAAAACGGTTTTGTCTATATAAGAACCATATATTGGAGTTAAAACAAGACAATGAGAACTTCCTTCTGTTACAATTTTGCAAGTTGACCACAATAGAGGCACATAGGATGCAAACAGTTTTTGTATGTGTTTAAGTATGAGATGTGGGTGCCTTGATTTTACGAAGAGGTTGTGAACTCTCCTGTTTGTCAAAGCATATGAAGCTGTCCAAATACATAATACCAAATACCAGTGTTGAGTGAAGTTTAAAAGGTCCTTGCCAGTGAACAGAATCACAATACTGCGTTGCTGTATGTCATCTTTAAGCAAGTTTGATTAAGAGAAATAGTCACAGAGGATTGCCCAAAGGATGTGTTGGCCACTTATTCCCTTCAACTTTAACTTTGATTATTGTACCTTTCTAGACCACCAGTGAGAGTAACTGCTTGGACCATGCCCTCAGCTCCTTGGTGACCAGCATTTCCTATCATATAATCTACCTCTGGGCCCCCACTGAAAGTACTAGAACAGGAAAGTGTTCAAAACTTGCTATATTTGTATAGGATGAATGTTTTGAGAGTTTTTAAGTTTCTGAATACGTAACTCCAACTTCTAGAACAATTTCATCTCAGGCTTTAGTACTAGGAATAATTGTGTTTCTCCCAATTTTTTGAAAAGGAAGAAAAATGTTACAGAGTAGGCTGTATCTGACCAGACATTCCTCTTCGCTATTGGCAGGTTGGAAGCTCTAGTCCAGATCTGTGCATTTCTCTAGCAATTATGCAGGACCTCACAGTGGACTTCTGTGTACTAGCTTTACCTCTGCATTGTTAAGCAACTCTTATTGTCCCTTCATCCTAATTGCTTTATGTATTTTTAAATCTTTATCCTATTATATGAATGTATGTCAGCTCCCTCAGATACCATTAGGAAGATATGAGAATATGGGCCTAAAGTAAATAGACATATTAAATGATATTTATTACTATGTTGCAAATTAAAAGTTCTCCAGTTATTCATGTACCCTTTACTCTGTGAGTAGAAGATGCGGGTCTTGTCTTAGACTGTTTTCGCCCACAAGTTGTACCGAAGGGTGTTAAGAACGTGTTTTGGATGTCAGAAAGCCAGAGACCTGGGAGTCCAGCTCTGCAAAGAGCTCTGTGAAGTGCCCCGGACAAGTCACTTCACCACTCCAGCCTCAGCGCCCAAGGGTGGTTGGCAGGAATTAGTCTCTTGTCCCCTGCAGCCCTATGGTTTTAACTCACAGACAGTCTGTCTGCGTGGAGTGTGAATGTTGGTCTTTCATTTCCTCCTCCAGCTAATTCTAGTTATTTGTTAAACCTGATTCTCTGTGACTGGGTAGATGCCTTATTCTTCCTCTAGGGCACTTTTCACTCATTAATTCTCACTAGGCATTTTATTGAAGTGCTAAATATCACAGCAGCAATGCAGATACCAAAAGGAGGAACAGAACAATGGGACACAATCTCTTTGTGCAATACACTTTTATTTTCCTTTTACCTTTGCAGTCATCTTTGAGTAATCGTTGTGTAAACAATAGAATGGAATGAAATTACATTAAATTGTATGCAAATGGCTCTAGAACACCTTAACAATTATGACAAGGCAATTATAAATAACTTTTTTTCCTTAGTAATATATATTTGCTTTTTAAAGTACATTAAAGAGCTGCCATATCTAGGGTTAGCTAGGAAAGAGCAAATGGTACCATCCCGGGAGCCCACCACCTCCCTGAAAGTTTAGACTCCAATTTTGAAAATCCTAAGGTTTATTATTCCATAATATATAGTCAAGCAAAGGGCTACTTGGGTTGAAAGTATTTATTCTTGAAACTTAACAGCATTTTACCTTTTTAGTCATTGCACAAAACCCTTTCTATTATTTTCCACTCCATCTGGGTATTCTGCAGAATTTCAAGTAAAACTCAGATTCTGGTATTTTCAAGTTTATCACCTTTGGAACAACAAATTCTATCACGTAAGGAGAAGTCAAATCAGAGATGGGTACATAATTAGCAATCTAAAGAATGGCAACATTTTATAGAGCATTCTAAATGTTCCAATGAAGCAAAACTTAACATATGCCACTTTATGTAGAGGAGATTTCAGATCTGAGACCATTCCAGAGTAAAGCAGCCTCAGGCACATTCTTAATATGAAAGTTTGCAAGGCACCTCCCTCCCCAAGAAACAATCAGATTGTGGATTGGTTTTTAGGCAAACAAACCCAAAGAATAAGCATCCTAGTTCCTAATTCAGTCATTTCAAAAATCAGAAGTTATAAATACTCCAAAGATAGACCTGAAACTTTTCGTTTAAATAACAAGAGATTAACTACAAGAAGCATATAATCAAAAACGTTTTTTTCCTTATAGCTAAGGTGTGTAATGCATAAATATATGAAAAATAAAATTCACAGTTTTAAAACTAGAATTCAAGTTTGGCTAATAAATCTTAATTTTATAAGTATATTAATTTCTAAATACAACATAAGAGGCAGTATTGTCAGATGTACAATTAAAGAATTATAACAGAAAGAACAAGGAAAGAAGAAATAGGCTTCCGACAGAAAAAATTCCTTTTGTTGCCAATAAATAGGACCACCTGAGTGTTATTTCAGATTCTTTTCACTTAAGGGATATCCGAATTGATTGCTAGGAATATTAAATAGCTTTGGGAAAAATTAGCAACAGTCGTGCAGCTGTGGCATTTGTTTGTTCTCATACTGTGGATTGCTAGAGAATAAAGCAGAACTCGGAGTGTTGTAAGTTTAAAAAAATTCTTTTTTATCCCATTTCGTCAAAGCTGGCCTCTTCACAATCTTCTGATTTTGCTGGGAACTGGGAGTGAGGGGGTGGGAGGAAGTGGAGAGGGCAAGGTTGAGGGGAGTGCAGTGAGGGAGGCATGACAGATCAGGGCGAGGTCAAGGGACATACATCAGCTGACACTCAACTGAGCAAACCCGATCAGCTTCACTTCATCGGGAATCTCCGATCCATCACAGCCAGAAGCCTGAGAAGGGAAAAAGAAACCTTCAGTGCTGGTTTGTCACTGCTGGTTTTTACAGACACGTTCATGTGATGGCACAATCTGTGTAAGGGCACAATCTGTATAAGGGCACAATCTGTATAAGGCCACGTGTCCCATCTCTCCCCGGAAAGATCCTACGAATCACTCTCTTGAATGACTTCTGGGTGCTAACTGCCCTGGGAAATCTGGTCATCATGCCATCAAGTACAGAAAATAGGGGAGAAGGGATTTATTACCCATTAAAACACCACAGTCCTCAGCTCGCAGCTTTGGTACTGCCAATGAATGCTATGACTGCCAAGGTACCACGTACAAATTTTCAACAACTCAATAAAGTGATTTTAAATATACTTTATAATTAGAGCTCCTTAATAATGATTTTTAGAAGAATACTATGAAAGTGAGCAGAATAAATCTAACAGGTCACTCAGGAGTAATTTGGTTTTTACCAAAATCATCTCCTCTGTAAAACTGGCCAGAAAAAAAGTGGTCACGTAGTAGCAGAATGGCTCAGGTAGACAATTGTTATTTAAATACCAGTGAGTAATTTTTTTTTTTTTTTTTTTTTTTTGCTGAAGAAGATTCACCCTGAGCTAACTTCCGCTGCCAATCTTCCTCTATTTTGTATGTGGGTCGCCGCCACAGCATGGCAGCTGACAGATGAGGGGTGTAGGTCTGTGCCTGGGAACCAAACCTGGGCCACCGAAGTGGAGCGTGCCGAACTTTACTGCTAGGCCACCGGGGCTGGCCCACCAATGAGTAATTTTTACAGGGAAAGGTACCATAACAGATTTTTTTTCATAACAATTTTGTTTGTAATAATTTAGGACATACTTATAGCCTAAAATTGGCCCAAATTATAGTATGTCAAATACTTTATTATTTTTCTGACTTCAGAATCAAAAGGAACTGGAAATAAGCCATTGCCCATCAAACCTCTCACTGGTCCTAATTCATAAGTTATTTTTATTTTCTTTCTCACTTCTCTTTGTCTCTCCTACACACACACAGACACAGACACACACACACACACACACACACAGTACTCAGATCACCACTCTAAGCTCTCCTCTCTGTCTTCTAAGCTGTCTCTTCTCTCTATAGCACATAAGTCAGAATTGGACATTATGTAAGTGCCACAAGTGAGGAGAAAAAAGTTTGACGAATGACTGGGAATAGGCAATTAATTACCAAAGGGCCATACAAACCTTTTCTTGGCCTAATTCCTGCTAAATTATTGTCAAAACAATTAGTTTCCTAGGGAAAAAAAGCTCTTTCCAATCATCACAATGAACCTGCTTAGCGCTGCTTCAAAAAACACAGTACATAAACCTGGCCCTTTGTCAACCCCGGCATTTTCCTTTAAAGTAAGAAGCTAATTAGAACCTGACTTGAATATTTTTAAATAATTATCTTTAACATAACATTCAGTGTGAGTAGTTTTGCTTATATAAGAAAATCCGTAGCCTAAAGAGCAGGAATATTAGTAACATTTAAAGAATTTGCTTTGTGCCTGTCTAAAGATTTCTTAGTTTTACTTGACAGATTAGATATTCAGGAAAGTACAGTTTTCATTGATTGCATTGCCAGGGGCAGCAAGATCAGAAACGCTCCTTTTTTTTTTTAATCACTTTTCTCAAAGTAGTACAGGTATAGAAGGCTTTTCAGCTGAGATATTTTCTGGTGCTTGTCATACTGATACTGTAAGGTTCACCTCCCCTACCAATTTTCTTGTTCCACTATCACTGGTTCTTTATCTATCTTCCTAAACCTCCCCTTCTTCTCTCCTTGTAGCTATTGCTAACAACATCATTTACTCAACCCACTGAATGGGGGCAGAGTCAATTTGTGTAATTAACAGACAACTGCCAAACATCTGAGGACAAACTCTTGCTGCTGGTGATGACAAGAAGGTCAGACTGGCAAGTGGGAAGCACATCAATGCATCTGAAAGCTACAGCAGAAATCTGCAATGTGAATGTCAGGAGCTTAAAATGACTAGAAATAAAAATAAAATATCCAATCATCGTTAAATAGACTAGAAACAAAAGAAAAATATTAAGTCCTTCTTGTGAAGAGTGATAAAGGTGAGAGTTTACAATGAGAGTGGGTGATCAAGCCAGTGGTTACTGTGGGTACCTCGCGTAGGGAGCCTTCTGGGAGCCCATTTCCCACCCTGCATCCCCAGGACCTCGCCCAGCTACACTGGCAGGTTTTGTTTCCCGGCAAAGAGGCACAGCCCAGGTTGTCTGGCTTTGCTTCAAGGCACTCAGCCCTCCCTTCCCCACTACCTCGCTAGCTCTCTCTTAACCAAGACTGAGTCCTCGTCTCTCTCACTGTAGCCTGCAAAACACTAATGAGGGCAATATGCAAATGATCCTGAAATCTAGAGAAAAGAGACCAGAGACCCTTAAAGCAGCAATTCTCAAACTTTTTGGTCTCAGGAACCCTTTACACTCTTAAAAATGATCAAGGACTCCAAAAGCTTATGTTTATTGTACTGATTGTCTTAGAAATTAAAACTGAGAAATTTTAAAAATATTTTAAACATTTTTAAAGTAATACAATTATTGTATTTAAAAATGTAAAACATGTTTATGTAGGCTATATTTATTATACTGACTTAAAACTCAGAAATTTCTAAAATATTCACTTACTAATTCATTAAACATAATAATAATAAACCCATTACATAGCATAAATAAAATATTCATGAAAAATAACCATAGTTTCCCAGAACAAAACATAAATTTGAGAAGAGTGGCACTGCTTTACATTTTTGCAAATCCCTTTATGTCTTGCTTAATAGAAGATGGCTGGATTCTCAAACCTGCTTCTGCATTCAGTCTATTGCTTTTATTGTTTTCCTTGAAGATCATAATGAAAATCCAGCCTCTCACAAAAATATGTACAGTCATGTGTCACTTAACAATGAGGATAAGTTCTGAGAAACGCACTGTCAGGCAATTTTATTGTGTGAACATCATAGAGTATACTTATACAAACCTAGATGGTATAGCCTACTACACACCTAGGCTATATGGTACTAATCTTATGGGACCATTGCCATATATGTGGTCTGTCGTTGACTGAAACGTTGTTAATGCGGTGCATGACTGAAGTTGGAAAAGGAAAGAATATTTTAATAGCCTTTCTAGATAATTGTGGATATCGTTTGTTACTATGCCAAAACTTGCCAAGTGGTAGTTTCTTGAAACTTAGTTGCAATGTGGAATATGAAACCATAGCATTGAACGTTTCATACTCTGTTAAATTAAAATCCATTGGTCTCTCTTGCACTTGGAACAGATCTTTTAGCCATGTATGAGGTTTCAGCACCACTGAGTTATGCAGATCTTCCAAATGTTGACATATTTCATTATACAATATCAATGTTTCATTATAAAATGTCAACAAATCATATTTATTAATATTACCCATCACCAATCTCATCAGAAAAGTCTTTAAGTCCTGAGGGTCTGTCAAGCTTACAGTGGCAGATATAGGATTCTGGAAAACTTGTTTTTGCTTGAAAGCTGAAATTTATCATTGACAACAAATATTGTCAGGTGTTTTCCTTGAGGTGTCAGGCTTACTTGGTTCATTTTGCAAAAAGTGTCTACCAAATCCCTAGTCTGAATAACCACAGGTTATCAGTTATTCTTTCATGTAAAAATGGTGTTTCACGAGAAAAAAAAAGAAAAAGGTTAGTTCAGCTCACAACTCAAACACTCTCACAACTGCTTTTCCTGGAGACAACCAGTGGACTTCAGTCTACTGAAGAAGTGCTTTCCGTTGCATCACACAGGGTATTAAAAAGATGTGTCCTCAAGTGGAGATTTAATAAAATCAATAATGTTTCTTGCCTTATTAGGAAATTCTTAAGTGAACCTGGCATTTTTTTGTATCTTAATTTTTTATTTTTTACAGTGACGGAGTGAGTGCTTTGAAGAACACGATGGCTGCTAGTACAGTTTGATGTTCCTGCCTTGATTTGTGCTGACATTAGCAGTGTTAACCACCATGGCTCTTACACCAATGTCAACACAATGGAAAAGGCCAAGTAACATCTTAGTATATTACGAAAAGTTTTGATATCCAGGATCCCCTAAAAGGGTCTTAAGGAACCCCAGATGTCCAAGACGCACACTTCGTGAACCTCAGCTTCAAAGGAAAATGAACACATTATCAGGAACTTCGCAGGACAGTGTAACACCATGCCTGCTCTCACTCAAGTATCTGTATGCTGATTCCTGAAAACCCCCAACTCCTCACCCCTCCTGCCAGACCAGGAGATGCAGCCTACGCCCCGTGGAGGAGCTGTCCAGCGTCAATCACAAGGATTCCCTCCACCACAAACCTTTGGAACCACCCAGAGAGTTTGAAAACATACCGCCCGTGTCCACCCCAGAGGTTGTGATTGAACTGGTCTGGGGAGTGGGCTGGGCACAGGGATCTTCTGAGCTCCCCAGGTGATCCAAAGGTTCAGTAGAGTTTGAGAACCACTGTCCTACCCTAGTGCTTCCCAAAGTGTGACCCTCCAAGTTTCCTTTAGAGCAGTGGTTCTCAGACTTTAGCCTGCTTCAGAATCACCTGGAGAGCTTGTAAAACACAGATTCCTGTGTGCCCCACTCCCCAGAGATTCTGATTCCCTAGGCTTGGGATGGGGCCATAGAATTACATTTTTATCAAGTTTCCAGTTTCCAGGTGAAGCCGACACTGCAGGTCTGGGGACCAGACTTGGAGAACCACTGTTTCAGACTGGAGCAGGAGGCTCAGAGCTGCTACACGGACCTTCCCGAACTTACAGTTTCCCTTAAGCTCTTTGTCTAAATACTCTTAGGTAGTTTTTATCTCATTTCAGTCTTGGCCTTCCCTGTACTTTGGGAAATGTTGCCTTAGTCATGCAGCCTTCAACTATGCCTATGCTGAAAGCCTCTAAAAATAAGGCCCTTTAGTCATTAATTGCCAAAATGCTTACGAAATTGCTATCTGCAATGCATGTTATTAAACTTCAGTAACTGAAATCTATAATGCTCGTGTAAATGTGTACCAATTGGATGTTAATTACATGTACTTATAATTCTATCTTCAAGGGCAAATTAAATATCTTATTTCATATTTTCACTAATGCAATTTCAAAAATTCTACATTGAAAGCAGCAAGACTCACTCACGTTATGAAACTGCAAGGCAGCAAATTAAAAAATGACTTAAAGAACATTTATGAAGACTTGTTTCAAGGCTTACAACAACAATAATACAGTACCTATATATCAAACCCAAAGCACATAATACCTGAGCTGAAATGTCCTCTATGCCTGAACTACTTTGTAAAAAGTGATTAAAAAAGGTTTCTGATCTCACTGCCCCTGACCATGCCAACAATGGAAATCATACTTATTATCTTATCCATCAAATGAAGTTAAAGATATCACTGGGCTGAGAAAAAAGTAAATGCACTTCTTTATACAACCAATATCCTTGCCCCGTGAGCCACTGGTTCTCTTATATAAGCAGATATACAATATAAAAAGAGACACTTTTTTGAACTTGAGCCAAATATTTCCCATAGTGGTGGGAGCGGGGAGAGGAAAGAGACTGGCGACTGAGTCAGCTTCCCAGCCTTGCTCAACACTGGAATCACCAGGAGGTGCTTTCAACATACGCAAAGCCCAGGCTGCACCAAGAGCAATTAAGTTTGGATATTTGGTGTAGGACGTGGGCATCAGTAATTTTTTTAAAGTGTTCCCACCATTCCTTGAGCATCCACAGTATCAAGATGTTATTCTGCTTTAGACAGTTTTCAGGCACCTGACAGTCCTCTGGAAAGCAAAGAAAGCTCTGAGATGAAAATGATAAATGCTGAGAAATACAAGGACCACGAGCACCAGTGCTTATGAGGAAAGATGCCTCTGAAATACTTTGATCTTTTATTCTTCAATAAAATAACCAAATTGATGAATGAAGGCAAATGCATTTGAATCTCTGTGGTTTTCCCAGGATGTTAGCGTCCTACAGAAGATGAGGCCAACATTCAGTTGAAATTAGCTCTGTCAAGTGGATCTCAAACTGGCTGGCAACTGATAGCAAAGAAACTTTCTCAGGTTTTAACTAGGGCTGGACAGAGAGTTAAGTGACAGAAATAGAAGGTCACTCCTGAGTTTCGCTTTATTTAACATCTTTAACTATCTTTGAGGAAAAAGCCATCCATTTCCATTTACCGGGAACACCACATCATCCCATTCTCAAACCATAAGGGGAAGGGAAAAGGCGTGTGGGTTCTCCTGCAGGACTCCTGTGCCAGACAGGCCAATATTACTCAATCTGCTGTAACATACAAAGGAGATTTGGTCCTAACCAGTGTAAATGCATCCAGTCATCAAAAAGCGTGAATCCACAAAGAAACAGGAAACTATAAAACCATAAGGCTGCAGGGTCCTGGCTGGATATGGGCTGAGATGCTAGAGCAGAGTTGAATTCATAGCTTCTGCACTGTATGCTCCTGGACAGGTTAACTCCACAGAGCCTCCAATTCCCAAGACGTAAAATGGACCTAATGATACCACCACCTCGTGGGATCATGAGGACTAAACTAACTGAGAGAACTCCGTAAAACACCTCATGCACTGCCTGGCAAACAGTGGATGCACAAGAAATAGTGATTATTATTACTTCTGCAGGCAAGGCCAAGGAATTTTAAGAGATTCTGTAAAAAGAGAGCATGAAGCAGAAGTCACAATCCTAATTATTTTACAGAGATTTAAAAAATGTAAAGGAAAAATAAGTAACGATGGCTGAAGTTTTTCTAAATGGGGTTTGTATTATTCTGATGTATTTTAATGATGATCAAGTCCTTGCTACGTGCCAGCCACTGTGCCAGGCACTGGGGGATCCAAGACAGAAGTCCCTGCCTACTTGGAGCCTCTAGATTTATTAAAGACATGAATAAGATTCTACACAATTTCAGTATACTATAAGCCTTGTGGGGGAAAATATAGGAGGAGCACCTAAGCCAGGATTGGATGTCAGAGAAAGCTTCTTGGAGAAACAGAAATTTAAGCAGAAAATTGGAACATGTGTAGGCATCGGTAAGACAAAGAGGAGGTTGGGAGAAGCTGGGAGAGAAGAATATTTTAGTTAGAGGGGAAAGTTCATACAATGGGCCAGCAGATGAAAACACGAGGAGACAGAGAACTAGAGAGAGAGAGAGAGAGAGAATGGGAGGGGAGACAAAGGTAAAGCAGAAGACCTAGAGGGAGGTCTGATGAGGGAGGGTTTCCTTAGCCATGCGCAGGGGTTTGAGATTAGAAAAGGACAGCGGAGAACCATTAAAGTACTGGAGCATTTTGGAATTAAGGAAGAATTACTCCTGCTATAGCCTCAGTGTGGTAAACAGAGCTGGAGGCTGGCAAATTGTAGACAGGAAGACCAGCTTCAGAAGATATAAGAGGATTCTACTAGTGTGCTGGAAATAGGGATGAAGAGAGAGGACAGAGGCAAGAGAATCCAGGGAATTAATTGATTAGCATAGGAAACAAGGAGGAGTCTCATATTATTCTTACCCTTTATCTAGAGACTATAAGGTGTTTTTACAAAACCTTCAGTAGTAGGAAAGGGCCAGAGTTCCTATTCCTGTTTTATAGGTCAGCAAGTTTAAAGACAGTGGGAATACGCCAGCATGAATGTTTTAATCTCTTATCTTTCTGTTTACATATTCAAAATTAGGAAAATGTCCTGGAGATGATATGTTGTAACTCCTTTTTTTATGGTATAAAAAAACAAATAAAGAAACATTAACATTGGCTTGAAATGATGACACAGGGTGCCATTTTCTCATCAATATATTCTCATATAAATGGAATATATTTACAAAGATGTAGGTGAATTAGAAACATAACAGGGGTGACAGAAGAGTCCCAAGCCAGAAGATGAATTTTTCAATTGGTTAATTTGTCAATCTATGTCTGAATGAAATATTCTTTTATTATCAAAACAAAATGAATGCCTTCAGATAAATTCTTTTTGTGAACATCTTTGTGTTTTTCTTTTATCATACAGCCTAGCCATCTGAAATTAGATGAGAAACAAGACCCAGAAAGTTAATTAGCACCAGGCTAACATTTACTGTAACTAATCATTTAGCATTTTTTCCACACACATTTTCCATTAAATTTTCATGAGAAATAAAAGAGACAGATCATCAATATATGTTGTGTGCAGCAAAGTTTTGGTCATCTAGATCGTAAATTGCTTTCAGCATTCTGACTGGCCCTTGAATAGATTAATTTATAATTTTATACATGAGGAAGATCAGCCCTGAGCTAACATCCGATGCCAATCCTCCTCCTTTTTTTTTGCTGAGGAAGACTGGCCCTGGGCTAATCTGTGCCCATCTTCCTCTACTTTATGTGGGACACTGCCACAGCACGGCTTGGCAAGCAGTGTGTTGGCGCGTGCCCGGGATCCCAAACTGCGAACCCCAGGCCACCAAAGCAGAGCACGTGCACTTAACTGCTGCGCCACCAGGCCGGCCCCATAATTTATAATTTTAAAATGAGTCACTTAATGTACTGTTTGCCAAAACTTTCAGGAAAATAGTCACTTTTGACTATTTGGATTTCTCTCCATTTCCGGCCATGGTCACCATCTCTTGGTTTCACAATGACCCCAGAGTGCTCACTATTCTATATCTCTGTGGCCACCCTAGTTCTTAACTTTAAAATCTGCTAGTGCAGAAAAACTGCTGGAATATCTCTTCTCCAGGAGAATCTGTGACTGCAAGTTAAAATGTTATGCCTTTGTTCACTAGCCTTCAGTGAGCAGTTCTACAATCTCTTCCAGTTACCTAAACCATTTCTACAACAATCAGCCTCAATTTTTAAAAGTTAGAACCACTTGGCTTTTGCTTCAGGAAAGCTTTATTAAGAATGTTGCTTGGAATTAAGTTTAATTTTGTCTATATCATCAAGTTGCCATATAAACTGCAAGAAAAATGGTACAGGCTTCAAGACTTCTCAAATGGCCACTCTTAGTTAAAGATGTGATGGTAAAAGAAGAAATTATGCTCATGGAAGAGGAAATTTCCGGTCATGATCAGAAAATGTTCCCAAACGTTGAAGAGGCAAATGACGAATGCAAAAATGGATCCCAAAGAAAATAACAATGAAATCACAGAGCAGCTTACTAAAACATATTATTCTTCCTTCCTGGCACAGCATATAAAATATTTACCTTCTTTCAATAACTTTTTACTTACCAATTTAAATGTCAATGTTTTTAAAGCTTTGGGGTCATCTACAATCTTCTGTAAATTAGCAGCCACTGTAAAATACAAACAGAAAAAAAGTGTCCAAATTATTTCCAGTAACACTGGATTTTCACATCAATGATTCAGAAAATTTGACTAATGATGCCATAAGCTGCAAAATCATTTCTTTCACAGACATTACAAAGTCCATATAAATGACCAAATTACTCTCATACAGACATTTTCTACAACAGCTTATACCTTCAGCACATCTGAATTAATCACTATACGTTGACTTCCACATTTCAGAAAATACACTAAGAAATTACTTTCTAATGGAAAGTAGAAATGATAGCAGCCCCTACTGTTTCTATCACTTGGTTTTTCTCAACACTCATTACTAAGATATTTAGTAGCCAGGAGAGGGCAGTGCAAAACAAAGAGGAGAGGTATTGCAAAGAATGGTTTCTCTGGAAAAATAGGTCAGTACATTTGAACTCCTGTCCTATAAATTCACTCAATTCTCTGCACCCATTTTTATCAAAGCAACAAAATACAGTGGATAACCTCTATGACTCGGACATATGTTTTCATGCTTTCAGAGCACAATGATCTGTCAAACCAGTGAAGTGCCACCTAGAGCAATACCCGAGTCGGCTGAACAGGGGCGAGCACTAGAGGCTGTCACTCTGGAGCTCAATGGTGAAGATATGTTTTCAGTGTTAGCCGGATTCATCAGGGATCTAAGGATCATCTCCTTGGTGCCATGACATATTTGATGCTCTAGGAGAGAAGTCAGCTTTCCCTGCTCACTCCTTTGGCTTAGGGTACTGCTTATGAACAGAATTATCAAAAGGTGACGATGATGGAAATTTAAAACCTTGCTCTTTCCATATCCAAACCTCAAGTACAAAGTACCGAAAGTCAAGTAAGTGCTATTGGTTAGGGAAGGAGAAGTTAGTACTATTGAAGAAATTAGGGGAGATGGTCCTGTTCATCACTTTATTTTTCATGAGTAAATTATCTGCTGCTTCAGTAATTAGGTATCTGAAAAGTTATCTGAATATTTTTAAAAAATTAAGATAAAATAGTAAACATAAGTCTTTTGAGAAAAGTGTTTCAAGCAGAAAGTTTGTAAGTAGAGAGTAGAAAGAAATCTGAGCAAATTTTGTTTCTCTAAGGTTGACTGAAAACAACCTAGATACATGGATTTTGTGCAGATTAGTTTTTTTCATTTAATCCAACAGCTGCAGAGGAGGAAAAAAAGTGAAAATTATATACTTGGTATGGCCTATTTCTCTTTATAAACCATAATTACAAGCATCATTTTATCTTCATCTGTTGCCCTCTTAATACTTCCATTCTGAGCGATCTGCAAAGTTTCATTTATGGTAACTCCCTTCTCTCCCCTCATCTTTTTCTCCCTTTCTTTTGCCCACACAAGCAAACTTACACATCAGTTATACCTTGGGCCACCAACCTTAGTATGGTTACCATCGCCAAGCTTCTTTTGGCCTCCTTAACAGTTTCCTGAACATATTTCAGACATTAAAATCATCTAGTAATCGGTGCAAAAAACATTGGCTCATGGAGTGAAAAGCTCTGCTATAAAATTCTGTCCACCAAAGCCAGTATTTATGATGTCAGGGCATTCTGACTATATGCAAATTGCAGCAACTGAACACAGTCACCATTTTCTTAAAACATAAAAGTGTTCTAATAGTTCCTCTGATTTGGGCTTATTTCATGAGTGGCCATAAAGTCTTCATACAAATTTCAGTCCTTTCATTAGACACTCTCAGTTAATGTGGATGATGTACTGCCTTGTTCTGGGTCATCTATTTCCAGGCTGCTCTCTAATACGCAGCCAAAAGCAGCGCTCTCTCCTACACTAATTCACAACCCTCTCTCTGGTGTACACACATACGTGCTAGGGCCAATTTCCAAGGAAGATGGCTAAGCAAGTTGTAGACTGAAGGGCAAGACTGAGCTGCTAGCATCTTAAACAATCATCCCAGAAAGCTTGCTCCCCAATTGTGAATCCTACACCTCTGGGACATTAGAAATTCAAATTCTATCTTCAGCTCAAAGCAAAAATAGCAAAACTGGCCACTTACCTGATTACTTATCCCAGGTGCTAGGCTTATTTTCAATTTAGTTGATTCTAATTTGTTGTAAAGTGCTATAAAATACCTTCACTTAACTGACATCACATAAAATTCAGGGTGATGCTAATTTCTCTTCCAGTAGCAATGCTCATTAAAAAGATCGGTGTCACTGTTTTCCCCCTTCTCCTGACTGTGCACCTGGATTTCAAAAATAAAAATGCTCCTTACCTGGAACGTGAGCTGAGAAGGAAGGGCTGGGTAGGGCTGGATGTTACTTTAGAGCTTCTCAAATATGTGCTGATAACATTGAACTTCATGTTTTAAGGTACTCTAGTTTCCAAAAACTATGGGGCTTCTGAACTCTGCTTACTCAGTGGCCATCAACTCATTTCCAATCCCTCTTGGTTTTCCCAAATAAAACTCATTCCCCTGGTTTCTGGCGCAAACTCTGGTTATCTTCCTTGAGTTTGTCTCTTCCCTCCTCCCAGCCCACTGTCTTCAGTCACATGTGCTTTCTCTGTCTTTTGGCCACACAGGACACAAAATTTACTCACTGAGGCCCCAGGGATCATGGCCCCCTTGCCCTATCACTGGGACTATATGATGCCTTTGTGTGAGCTATCTATTTCTTGCTATTTTGGTGTCCCTGCGTCACACTTTCGGCTTGAATCCCTGTCAGGGCAAGAAGTTTCCATCAGCTCTTTTGGATAACATTTGGCCTAAGGTACGGTAAGTATTGTGCTTTATGAAACTGTAATAATATCATTAACAATCACAGGAAAAAGACGCTGAGGCTCAATATCGCTCTGAACCTAACCAGAGAAGGAAATAAGATTGTCTGGGGGTAATCTGTCAGAGGCAAGGCAGCAGAGCCGACATTTCTCTGGCAAACTAAGTCAGACAGTCTCCAGAAACTGTTTTCTCTATAAACTCCTTGTACTACTCAAATTCTCCACATTTTGACAGTTAGAAAAGTAACAGTTATATAACGACTATTTACAGTCTGTGTTTGTATTCCAAGTGATTAGTTGCAAGATACACCTTTCTCCCTAGATACCAGTGGATTTCACAACAATCTCACATGGTACTGATGTTTTGGTGGCAGTGAGTTAATTTATTTAATTTGAGCTATTCCCAAACAAAAGCTGTGGGGAAAAGCACACAATGAACACCAAGTCTGATGTATTCCTTTAGTAAGAAATTCTGAGATAAGACAGAAGCGTAGACATGAGTTACCTGACAAGGTGATGACGTTGCCATATTGTTTTATCCACAGACACACCCTGAGCATCTGCTCCGTACACTGCATTGCTGCAGAAAGGCAACATGAGATTGCAAAGAAAGAAAGAGACATGGATGCCAAAAGAGAACCCAAGCTCTAAATAAGGAGAAGAGGAGATGATATGACGGAGGGTTTCTTATGGATACTACTATCACACTAATGCAAAATTATGGCTAATTAACAATTCAGTTTGGGACAAAATAGAAGAGACCTGCCCTGTTACTTTCTCTAAATCTCTGGCTCTTATCTTCAAGAGATGAGTGTAGCATAGTGTGTGAGAGCCTGAATTCTCCAGCCAGAATGCTTGGGTTCAAATCCTGCCTCCTGCTTAGAGCTGTGGCCCATCAACTTGGGCAGGTTTACTTAGCCTCTTCGTGCTTGAGTCTATGCATCTGTAAAATGTAGATATTAATAGTGCCTACCTGATAGGGTTGTTTTGAGGATTAATTGAGTTAATGCACATAAAGTGCTCAGACTAATGCTTGATGTATAGCAAGTGCATAATAAATATTAGCTTATTATCTGTACCCTGGACAACTGCATATCTTAACTGGCTTTGTTGCCTTTCATCCTTAACTCCTCACAAGCCCTCTTTCTTACACTCACCAGAGTTACTTGGAGAGTCTGAGTCATAATTGGAATGTGTTGCCCCCTTGGGTGATATCGTTTAATTATTCACATCAATGTCAGGATAAAGTCCCAGTTTCCAATGTGGGCTATGAGACCCTCCGTAGTCTTGCCTAACCTACTTCTCCAGTTTATTTTTCGCCATTTCCTACCCTGGCGTTTCCCAGGAAGGGCTCCATAACCACCCCCCTCCTCTAAACCTCTACCACTACTCTTACATTGTGTGCTGAATAATCCGTTACAGATCTGACTTCCCCACTAGATTCAAATTCTTTGATAACCGAGACAAAATCTTATTCATCTCTGCAAAAGGTTTATCTTTGAAATATATCCACATATACAGAGACTCATAAATTCTCATGACCTCCACTGCTACTACCCATGTATGGCCACCATTATCTCTTGTCTAGACTTGTATAATAGCCAATTGCCTCCCTGCTTCCATCCTAGTCCCTCAGTGGCCTAGCTTCCACCCAGCAGGCTGATGAGCCTTCTAACATGTAATCAGACTATGCTACTTTTCTCTTCTCTCATAGCTTTCCAGCTCAGAGTAAAACCCACCTGGTCAGGCCTCCTGCTCCATCTCTGACTCACCCCTCACCATTTATTCTTGCTGCCCCTGCTCCAGCCACAATAGCCTTCATGCTGATCCTTGGGCATTCAAAGCAGGCTGCCACTCAAGACCCTCTGTACCTACCATTCCTTCTGCTGGAAACGCTCCTCCTCCGTGACTGAGTCCCTCCCTTCCTTCCAGTTTCTGGTAAAATGTCGCTGGCTACCCTATCAACATCCCGACCACTGCCTCACTCTCTATTTCTTTATCCAAGATTTTTCTTTTTCATAGCGCTTATCACCACCAGACATGCTATGTATGTATGAATTATTTTGGGTATGGCCCTTCACTTACTCCCACATACCCAGAACATAAGCTCCGGCGAGTGCAGGAACTGTGTCTGTCTTGTTCACTGCTATGTTCCTAGTGCCCGCCATATAGTGAGTGTCAATTTAGAGGGTTCCAAGACTCTAAAAATGCCAGGTTAAGACCCTCTTATAGAAG